CAGTGAAATTTGTGCATCAGGCTCATGAGTCTCCGAAGATGGGTAGACGAAATCATTACTCCAAACGTCAGACCTCAAATAAAACTTCTATGGCGAACGCGACCGCCTCTTTCGATATGCCAACTGGCAGGAGAACAGTGGTCATAACTAGATTGTGTTTGCTCGGAGGATGTGAGTTTGAGCTACCGTGGAGCCAGATCGAATCAGACCACCGAATTCCCTCATGCGTTATCTCCTTTTTCCTGCAATTAACGCATGTCCCCTGCAATTGAAGTGGTGTAAGCCCAGTCAGTGACGAAAGAATCCAGAAGTAGTAATTCCCGTCTGCACCGCTGTAATGCTACGCAATGCATGGTGTCTGGTGATCCAATGCACTTTAATGCAACCACACGTTGGCAACGGTGCGGTCATTTGTCAAAGGCCTTTTCCAGCAAATGAGGTCATGCCAAGAGCTCCGAAACATGAACACATGAGCTGCCTTAACTAATACCCAGTGCTCAACAGACCATGTCATTATTGTTCAAACGCTGGCGCATACCTGTTGCTACATGGTGGCACCTTGGCTGGCGGCACGTGAAAATTTGATGACCCCGGCGTGGTATCGAGTTGTGAATGAATGTTCATTCTGGTTTACCCAATGCCTATATCTAAACAGATATGAGCACAATAGAAGCGAACAGACGAGAGTCCTAGGAAGCAGTCGTGAATAAGGAGACACTATCACTGGGACAAGAGCTTTATTCGCCTGACTTTTCCGATTCCCGCTCGAACCCACCGTCAGAAGCAATAGCAGATACGGGTGGTTCATGCACAAGGGGCTGCAGTAGTTTTAGGATGCAATTGCCATGCTACTGCATACTTATGAAAATTCACGGCTCTTCCTTTCATCTTGGATTGTTGTATTCTTTATGATGACTGTTTGATGGCAGATATTCGCGTCGTTAATTGCTGCTATCTAATCACGTGTGTCGATGTTGGTGGGATGATTGCTCGACCATCTGGCCCACCGACCCTGGTGTTGGGAACAGTGTTCGAGCACATTAGTTAGGGATAGTCGAGCACTGAGTTTAAATTACTAGACCTGGGTGCGGTCTTCCAATCTGCCTCCTTAAACTACTCCCTCATTTTTGGAGAAATCCTGCATCCATATAATTCCTTCTTTTGATACTGGAGTCCCAGGTAGAAGCAGCTGACTACACACCCGAGCGAGGAAGCAGTGACCATTGCTATCGAGAAGCGTGCGTGAACGCAGGTTCAAGATATCACTTTGCAGTTTTACTAGAAACAAGGTCGAGACAGTTGGCCAACTGGTCATCACGGAATCCCGTAGGCACTGCAGTGTGTTAGATGAAGAAATCTTCGGTAGATGGCTGAAGAAGTTGTTGATGAGAGGGGTATTCTGTCTGCGCCGATTGGATTACGTCCGATCACGGATCTGTCGTGTACATGCCCTCAGCCGAGATCACATTAGTACTCTGAGGAATGTTGCTTTACTTCTGAAAGGAGTGCCTGGTATGCATAGTTCGCTTGTTCCTGATGCTTGTACCCCAGTGCATTATGGAGCAGCAGTTGGTGGGATTCACTTTCGTAACAGTTGGAAATTTCATGTCCACTGGCAGTGCTTGCGACCACTGCGGTCCCTCTAGATTTCTTTCCTTTGGTCATTTGAACTCTGCTGTGGTGAGGGTGTTCAACGATCAGGTTCGGAAATGTTCGTTTATTTGTGCGTTGGGGCTCAATCTGGTGCCCTTCCAGGTAGCTGTATGACAGGCAGTGTTGTTGTAGGTAAGAGGACCGACAACTATTATGCAGACTGATATGGCAGATTTCGGTGTACTAGTTGTTGTCAGCCCAGTGACAGAGCACGGACTTTACCACTCAATGACCGAAGATTTCGTGTTGGGATTTCAGGTAATCTAGGTCTCGAGTTGGGATTTGCCGGCTGGCTGGCGACGGCGAGTGTGCCGGAAATTATCTCCCCAGTCTTCGTTAGCAGCCCATTGTGATATAATCTTTGGGTGCTATATTTTCGTCGTAGGCATATTTCGAGTAAGCTGTAGTGTCAGGACGGGATGGGCTACGAGCGGTTCGATCTAATCGATGATTTTGTGTGAAATCTGTGCATTTTTTCACAATACTGTTATATTTATTTTTCTCTCACTCTGGAGTATTTATTCTCCCACACTTGCGTCAGGCCCACGTTTCTTTGATACTTTGCATGCTATGCCGAATCTACTCTACGACTTTAGGTCTAGGGTTGGTTGACCGGGAGCTGCTCCAATAAGGGTGGAGTAATTCCCATGAAATAATCCTCTGTTTTCATAGTTTGATTGTACGCTCTCCGCAGTCCAGCCACAAATCCCCATCTGAAGAAAACGCTCAGAAATATGTACTTTTTACCTAGTTATGACTTTTGAGGGTAGGTGAGTCCCCCCCGTGTCTTACTAACAACGAAACCCTTAAATGGTTCATGTAGCTAGTCGCTCTGGTTTGCTCGTAAGTAACAGTCGTAAGCGAGCGATATCTTGCTCCTCAACCACACAGCCGTGCAAACGCTGAAAAATGTGTTTAACCGCTAATGAGCCGTGCTAGGTGACAGAGGAAGTGTTCGAATGGAACCTGTTAGCTGCATCATGCTATTGTATGATCATGGCAATTACAGACGTTGATTATCCACCGATTTCCCTAGTCGTATCTTGTTTGTATTTACAATGAGCGCCGATTATTCACACCCGAATGTCGCTTCAGACTAAATCCACATGGTCCATCATTCGTTGATGAGTTTACCACTGGATTCGCAACTTACATATCTGTTAATGATGGCCTCATAGGCATATATCTCATTATTTCAGTACATTCTGAGGCAGGTTGTCAGGTCACGCAACAGTTCGATTTTGGTTATGCAGACACACTTTAGGGTTCATGTACTTACCCGTGTGTCATGCTAAATAGGACAGTTTGAACAATCATTTCTTTAGGGAGAACTTCCTTCGCAGTTTCCATATCTGCTTATTATTCATGCCGAGTTTTTGTCTCTTTGTGCCGTTTTTGCAACAAGCTTCTGGAAAAGTTACCAGATTGTTCGTTGGTTCGTGAGTTGATCCGATCAGACACTGTTTTATCGACTTAGCTCTTCCTCTTTTTGGGTTTTCCTCTCATAGTGTAACTACATGCTTTTTATGCGTGTTGAGGACTTTAAATTCGCCTGTCAGTGGGAGTGGGCAGGTTGTGACGTAGGTGGCTGGCGCGACCGAATCCGCCCTTAGGCGTGCGACACAACCGACTCGGACCCCACTAGTGAAAGTGCTGTCATTGCAGTCTGACTCTCAGACCACCAGTCGGTCACTCCACGCAAACACGCACATTGGATCAATTTAGAGGTCCAAGTTATCCCGTCAGTTGGTTACCTTCCAAGACACGGCTTTTAGCTCACCGTGATAGCTTCAATGCACCGAGTCGTCGACCTCACTATTCCCATTTCCATGCCCCGATCATTGTCCGAGCCGGTCGGTCGTGTAGTGCGGGGAACGGACGCAGTAATTGACAGAGCCACGTGGAGGAGTAAAGAGGCACACGTCCCCTTTGCGAAAGAGGTGTCAATTGCGTGCTTATATTTTGTAGTGATGGGTGATGCAGATGCGTTTTGCAGGTGCTGGTGGGGAAAGATGTGATGGTGTGGTCTAGTCAGGGTGGTCTACTGCAGGTTTTCATGAATGCGCATGTGACCTATTAGGCCCATGTGGTGGCTGAATGTGCGAGGACAGTGAGCGCAGTGGAGGCGGATGCGGCGAGTGTATGCTGGCGCTCCAGGCACTGGTTCGTCAGTCTCCGTACGATGGATTCGCAAGTAACGGACCAGGCCCATATGTGAGGTGAATGGGCGGTCGCAATGAGGACAGGAATGAACGGAGTCCATATCGCCGGCGGTGTGTATGTTGGTGATGATGGTAGAAGGTGATGGGACGTTGGACGTCGTCCCATCGGCGGAGGAAGTGCGTGGTGGTGGTGGTGGTGCTGGTCAGTATGATTGAAGCAGGGACACGGCGAATGATGTCAGAGATCGAGGGTGGAGAGAAGGCGAGTGTGTGAACGGCAGTGACGGAGGCGACGGTCGGCTCGGGTTTTTTTTAGTAAGAGCGATGTTGAGAGAAGATGCAGACCTCAAGTTGATGGTGCACTGTTTCCGAATACGTCCAATAAGACCGATGGGTGCACGAAACGTGCATTGACACCGTAGGCAGGCCGGGGCGGTTTAGCGCTGGCGTCTCGAGGTGGGGGTACTTGTAACTTGCGAGTCCCCCTTCTGGCTTTGGCGCAGTTGACGCGGTTGGCTTCGTAGATTGCTACGCTCCCCCTCACTGTCCTCTTCCGGGTCGGTTGGTTCCGGGAGAGCTCTCTCCAGTTGGCCGGCTTGATCTGCATGGATTCCAAGGATGTCTTCAGTGCCCTTGTAGCGCCAGAACTGACCTCCTTGTCAGCGGAAACATGTGGCGACATCTTCATAGAAGAGCCGTTTAGGTAGCCGCTCGTCGTCCATCCGCACAAGGTAGTCGTCCCAGCGCAGTCGTGATTGTCTCTGCATGGCGTGGGTGCTGGGGATCCCTGTCCGTTCCAGTACGCTCGCGTCCGGGATTCGGTCCTGCCACCTAAGTTATAGTATCTGCCAAAGACAGAGGATATGGAAGCGGTTGAGTCTTTGTGCCTGCTTCTTGTACACCGTCCAGGTCTCCGCTCCGTACAGGAACGTCGACAGGATGCATACTTTGTGCATCTGGAGTTTGCGGCTGAGATGGAGACCGTGACGATTCCAGAAGCTTTGCAGGCGGCCGTACACACAGCTTAAGGCAGCACTCCTTCGGCTTAATGCTGTGTCCGACCGCCAGCGGTATCACCAGCTAATTCGCGAAGATCGTTTGAGTGACCGAAAATCCACCGAGCTTCTTGGAAGGATGCAAGGACTTCGTGGTAAGCTACCCATCGATGATGAGCTTTTCAAGGTTATGTTCCTGGAGCGTCTGCCAGCCGATGTTCAAACCATTCTGGCATCTGGCTCAGAAGATCTCGCGGTCTCACGGCTAGCCAATGTGGCGGACAGGATGTTGGAGGTGCAGCGGTTCCAAACTCTCTCTGTCGCCCAGCTCTCCGTTTCCTCGTTACCGACTCCAAGTGAGCAGATTGCGACGCAGATGGTTTCCATGGCAGAATAGATGGCGTCCCTAAAACTCCAGCTTCCACGCTATACCTCTAGTTGCTCATCCAGACGACGTCGTTCCCGTTCGCGACCTCGAACAGCCGATATTTGTTGTTATCATACCAATTTCGGTCCGAAGGCTCGTCGATGTTCTTCTCCCTGCTCGTTCAAGTCCAAGCAGGAAAATCGGTCAGCCAGATAATAGACGCGACCGCTTTCTCTGGCTCTTCCGGCTCTCGTCGCACCTTCTACGTTTGCGACAGTATGACTCGCAGACGTTTCCTTGTGACATTCGAGCCCAAATTGGCGTTGTCCCCCAAACTCCAACCGATCATTGTTTCCCCAACCCTGATCTTCACCTCCAAGCTGCCAACCGTTCTTTCATTCCTTCTTTCGTCAGTCTGCCCCTCGCCCTCGTAAGTATTTCTCCCGGATCTTTGTGATTGCCTATGTTTCTCATTCAATCCTCTGCTCGGACTTTCGAACCGAATTCGATCTCCCTGTGGACTGCCGACGATCCCGACTTCTAGACTGCACAACTGGCCTCCCTGTGCATGGTTTAACTCGTTTAACTTCCTCCTGCGATTTATCTGTCTTGGGTACAGATATTCTGTGTCCCTATGGGGAGCCGCTGCTTCAACACCCGAAGATGACCAATCTGCAGTTCCTCAGTCGCGAGGTCCAGCATGATGTTGGGCATCACATCAATACTCATGTGTTCGTTCGGCCTAGGCCAGTAGCACCGGCCCATTTTCGGGCCGGGAAGGCGGAGTTTGAACAAGTGTGAATCATTTGACCCTGTGGCGAATATCGTGCCCTCAACAGTGTCACAATTCCCGATCGGTGCCCTGTGCCTCATCTTCAGAATTTTACTGAAGTCCTTTTCGGCACAGCGGTTTTCTCGAAGATTGACCTTTCATTAGATTCCGGTCGCCCCTGAGGATATTCCCAAAGCTGCCGTTACCACACCCCTCGGCCGCTTCGAATTCATCCGCATACCTTTCGGTCTTCGTAATGCAGCCGATACGTTCTAGAGGTTCGTCGACCATGTCTTGCGTGGCCTACCGTTTGTGTACGCCAACATCGATGACCTCTTAGAGGTCAGCCGGAATGTGGAAGAACAGAAAGATCATCTTGCCTTAGTGTCTGACCGCCTTGACGAATTTGGCGTTATCATTAACCCCTCCAAGTGCGTGCTGGGTGTGCCTTCGCTCGAGTTCCTCGGCCATCAGGTCGACTCTGAAGGTTTGCGTCCACTCCCCTCCAAGGTTGAAGCAGTTCGTAATTTTCCTCCTCCAACTTCCAAGCGTCAGTTACAGCGGTTCCTCGGCATGGACAATTTTTTCCGTCGGTTCCTACCGAACTGTGCTGACCTCATGCTGCCGCTCACCAACATGCTTTCTGGTCCTAAAGGTCCCCTCGAGCTGACTGGTGAAGCACTGACCGCTTTTGAGAGAATCAAGAATTCCCTTGCCGATGCCACCTTACTCACACATCCCGCTCCCGAAACTCAGCTGTCTCTGATGGTAGATGCTTCGGCCGTAGCCGTAGGTGCAGTCCTTCAACAACACCTTGCTGGTTCGACTCTACCACTTGCCTTTTTCTCCAAAAAGCTCTTACCAGCTGAGACACGCCACAGTACCTTTGGCCGTGAACTACTTGCCATTTACCTGGCCGTGAAGCATTTCGGACATTTCCTTGAAGGTCGTGACTTCACTGCTTTCACTGACCACAAACCGTTGACTTTTGCACTTCTTTCCCACTCCGACAAGTACAATCCGAGGGAAATCGCTCACCGTGACTACATCTCCAAAGTCACCACCGACATCCGCCACATTGATGGCACGAATAATGAAGTGGCTGATATGCTGTCCAGACCCTCACTGTCTTCCCTCCAACTCACACACGGGATCGATCTTTGTGCCATGGCGGCTGAGCAACAGCGAGTCGGTTGTCCTGGTGACGAGTCTGTTAGTGGTCTCCTTCTCAAAGACGTCCCTCTAACCATCGGCTCTGGTACCATACTTTGTGACGTCTCAACTCCCTTTCATCGCCCTTTGCGTGCTGGGTGTGCCTTCGTTCTAATTCCTCGGCTATCATTTCGACTCTGAATGCTTGCGTCCCCTATCCTCCGAGGTTGAAGCAGTTCGTGATTTTCATCCCCCAACCTCCAAGCATCAACTGCAGCGATTCCTCGGCATGGGCAATTTTTATCGTCGATTCCTACCCTACTGTGCTGACCTCACGCTGCCGCTCACCACCATGCTTTGTGATCCCAAAGGTCCCCTCGAGCTAACTGTTGAAGCACTGACCGCTTTTGAGAGAATCAAGATTTCCCTTGCCGACGCAACCTTGTTCACGCATCCCGCCCCCAAAACTCAGCTGTCCCTGATAGTAGATGCTTCGACTGTTGCCGTAGGTGCAATTATTCAACAATACCTTGCGGGTTCGATTCGACCACTGACCTTTTTACTCAAAAGACTCTTTGCGACTGAGACCTGCCACAGTACCTTTGACCGCGAACTATTTGCAATTTACCTGGCTGTGAAGCATTTCCGGCACTGGCTTGAAGGTCGGGACTTCATCGTTCTCACGAACCACAAGCCGCAGACTTTTGCTCTTCGTTCCCACTTCGACAAGTAAAATCCGAGAGAGATCGTCCGCCTAGACTACATCTCCCAGTTCACCATCGACATCTGTCGCACTGATAGCACGAAGAATGAGCTGGCTGACATACTGTCAAAGCCCTCAGTATCGTACCTCTAAATTTTACACGGGGATCGACCTTGGCGCCATGGCGGCTGAGAAACAACGAGTCTGTAAGTGGTTTCCGGCCCAAAGACGTTTCTCTGACAACCGGCTCTTCTAACAAGCTTTATGACATCTCGATTCCTTTTAATCACCCTTCTGTGCCACCGCAATGCTTCGAGCTGTGTTTCAAACTCTGCATGGACTCTCCCACCCTGGGATCCGAGCCTCCCAAAAGCTCATCGCGGAAAGGTTCGTCTGGCCTGGCATGAACAAGGACGTCCAAGCTTGGACCCCGTCATGTGTGAGTTGACTGCGGAACAAGGTGCAACGTCACAACTAATTCCAATCATGCGCTTTCCCCAGCCCCGATGCATGGTTCAGCCATGTGCACCTGGATGTCGTAGGCTCCTTGTCTCCATCCAATGGCTATACTCACATTCTTACCTGCGTTTATCGGTACACCCGCTGGGCTGGAGCCATTTCTTTGCAGAACCTGCAGGCTGAAACCATTATGGAAGCTTTCGTCAGCCGTTGGGTCGCCATGTTCGGTGCTCTATCCACGGTTATGACTGATCGTGGTGCCCAGTTTGAGTCTGCACGCTTCCAAATGCTCCAAAATTTTCTGGGCTGAGCACGCATTCGGATGACAGCCTAGCATCCAGCTAACAACAGTATGGTTGAGCGTTTCCATCGCCAGCTAAAGACCGCCCTGCGGGCCGCAGAGGACCCAGGAAACTGGTCAGACAACCTCCTCCTTGCACTCCTTGGCATTCACTCAGATCTGAAGTCGGATTTGGACTGTAGTGCAGTCGAATCGGTTTCCAGCACTACCCCGCGATTGCCAAGCGAGATGGCCACCCCAACCTCTCGTGGTGCTGACGAGACCCCTGACAATTTTGTACACCATCTACGGCAATTCATGCGCTAGCTTCCCCCGGCCCCACCTCGAACTCCAGCGACCGAGTCTTATATCAGAAAAGATTTGGACAACTGCACTCGTGTGTCCGTTCGGTGTGACTGTGTGGCCGGCCGCTGGAATCACCATATGAAGACCGTTCGTGTGCTCGCACGCAACACCAAGACCTGCGGGTCCTTCGTGGTAACAAGGAGGATGTGGTCAGTATCGATCGGGTCAAGGCTGCTGTCGGAAAGGGCCTGCCAGATCTGCCTCCAGGACAAGACTGTGTTGCCCCCCTGCTCCGTGATCCCCCACCTTCCCTACCCTATGCTCATCCACCTCCCCAACCATCTCTTACCCAACTTTCCCCCATTGCCTCCGACCCTAATTCTTCCAATTCCACTGACATTCTCACCACTCATAGCGGCCGTCGCGTCCCCTTTCCCGACCGCCATATCATGCAAGTGTATTAACAGTGCACGTACCTTCGGCGTCGGTTTTTCTATGCCGGCCTTCAGTCTAGGTGGGGGTACTGTGGTAGCCATTTTTCATATTTTTGTTTAGACACTACCTTTCATAGTTATTCTACTTCTTAAGCAATTCCATAAGTCGCACTTATTCGCTCTTGTTTACGTTGATGTTCATGTAACGGTTACGCGGGGACTCCGACTGGTGTGGGTTTCAGTTTAACTAACTGACTTTTCACACATTGCCTTTGTTCCTCGTTGGGCGCCGTTGACAGCCAAGTTCGTTATGTCGCGGCCGATTCGCTTAGTTTTTCCCAACTTGGTTTTGACGTGGTATCGAGTTATCGATTGACTGGGCCCACTAAAAACTCACCTGGTCCTCAGTTTCGGCGGGCGGCCAAACAAACAACCGGTGTTCCCCTCGAAATTGAAAATAACTCTCATTGATATAGATTAGGGGCTGTTTGAGAAAATACACGGAACCTTTATTTATTCGCAACTGGAATAGAGAATGCAGACGTGGTGCTCTTAACAAAAAAGTTATAAGTTGCTGGAATGAGCTCAAAGGAGGGTGCCTAACGTTTCAAAGGGCCACAAAATTTGCCATACAGATGCGCAGTTGATGCGCTTAATAAATCTCACTTTTAGTATAGACAGACCTGAGCAGCTCTCTAAAACACCTTCCGAATAAAGAGAATTCAGGACTTGCCTTGTACCTCAAGGATTTCTTCGCAGCGGTCACAGGAACTAAATTGCCCACGGACATCCTCAAAGACAGAGGAAATTTATTTCACATTGATGTTCGCAAGCACTCGATTTCCTAACGCGTACTGCGTGCCTGGAGCGGATTTCTCGAGTAAGTAATAATGACCGATTCAACAGAGGCAATTAGACAAGCTGGATTTACATTCGCTTTAAAAATATCGTTAAATTGGACAGGACAGTTCTGTTAAATCAAACCAACGGATTGCACATACCTACCACTAAATCGGATGGCTGTTATTTCCTTATGCACATTATCTTCAATACCTGAGGACGCCCAGATTTCAGTCTTGCCATATTATGGTAATGAAATGTAAGATGCATGTGTTACGGGGACAGCCCCCTGTAACGCATGAAAATCCATCTATATCAGCCAGACAGATAACTCCACCACTTCAACAGGGTCCTGCGAGTTCTACAGTTAAGTCGCCTGTGGCATGGCGTCAGGACGGTGTGATCCCAAAACTGAATCGGACTCCGGCCAAAAGACAAGGTAGCACAATTCCATTTAATGATATACCGTCTTCTCTTAGATCTACCAAGTCTTTACAGCCCAGCTCGTCTACCAACGCCGCAGCTCCAATTATACCCCCAAATAATTCTCTGTCCTGCGTACCGGTTACTTACCAAAACCCTACTATATATCCAGTAAATAACTCATACGTGAATTGCCATAAGTCATTTATCCCCAACCTACTTCAGGCTTCCCGCCACGTAAGGCCAACTCATCTCACGTAAGTCAACCCAACTCCTTTGACTTCCAACCTAGACCTGATTTCTACCCTTTTGGTCTTATAGCCGCCTACCCCGCACTCCATCCGCCTATACCTTCCTTCTAGTCTCCCTTCTTCTTCTTCCTCTTCTTCTTCTTCTTCTTCTTCTTCTTCTTTTTCTTCTTCTTCTTCTTTCTTCTTCTTCTTCTTTTTCTTCTTCTTCTTCTTCTTCTTCTTCTTCTTCTTCTTCTTTTTCTTTTTCTTCTTCTTCTTCTTCTTCTTCAGTTAAAAAAACTGACAAAATCTTCGGAGGGTAAGAATCCATGTGGACGGATACTGGAGTCACAGTCTATTTCAGGAAGGTGAAGATGCCTAGTCATTATTTTAACATCGAAAGCAGCTTCCAAAATCAATTAAGAGATTTCACGGTATTGTGAATCATCACTGACGGAAGAGTACGGGAGATTGTGGATAAAGCCAATGATTGCCTTTCTTTGCGGCGACAGAAAAACAGATGCAAAGCAGAAAGTCCTCTTTAATGAGGAGACGGCCAATAATAGGAAGGATCTAAGATAAAGAAGACGACCGCCTCCACGCCTCGTCGTGCGGACTTGACGGTAAAAATCGAAGTCATATAAAAAACGGGCAGAGTCAGGAATCAGAGAATGGGTATAAAATTCTGTTATACATATAATATCAGGCGTCATTTTGAGAGCAATGGTTCTGATTTTGGCCATCTTGTTTGTAACTGACCTGAAATTAAGTAATATGATCAGTCTACTGTATTTCGAACAGCAAGGTTATTGTTGGCGGTATTTGGAATAAAAATTTGGATGCGGATATGGAAGCTGTGAATTAATTATGCTTGAAGAATAACTACCAGTTTGCAGAAGAAATGCTTCCCCCACCCCCCCCCCCAACATGTTTCCTCCACAGTGTTCTGATGGCGATAGATTTGTGGTCGTCCATACACCCAGATCTCTGTGTCTTTTCACAGTTTCTAACTTCGTCCCGTCAATATAGTACTGGTGTTTGGGAGAGGCATTGCGGCCGGTGTTCAGGTGCAAGACCACGCATTTGGACGCGTTAAACTTCAAAAGCCATCTGTTCGACCAAGCACACAGTTTGTTGATGTTCGACTGCAACTTCTCTGCGTCATCATCGCATTTGACTTCACTCCATATTTTTTTGTCATCCGCGAACATGAGAGCCTCGCAATTCCCTTCGCTGCTGCAGTCATTAACATAAATCAGGAAGAGTACTGGGCCTAAGACAGAACCCTGTGGGACACCACTTTCCACCTTTACCCATTCCGAGGTAGAATTACTACCGACGACTCTTTGTAGTCTGGAGGACAGAAAACTCCTGATCCACTTAAACATTCTCCCTTGAATCCCTACATCCCAGATCTTTTGTAAAAGAAGCCTGTGTGGGACACTGTCAAAGGCCTTCTTGAAGTCAAAAAATATGACATCTACTGGAAAACCCTTATCGGTAGCTCGTGTCCATCTCTCGTGCGAGTAAAGAACACTCGTTAGGCAGGAGCGCCCTGGACGAAAGCCGTGTTGGGCATCGCACAATATTTTGTTCTGTTCCAGGTATTTCATCAAGTGTCTTTTAATAATACGTTCCATTATTTTACACGCGATGCAAGTAAGACTGACAGGACGATAATTTCCGCAGTCAAGTCTTGAGCCTCCTTTATGGATAGGAGTAATGAGTGCGTACTTCCATTCTTCCGGGAGCTCGCCGTCTTCAAATGACTTTTGAAATATTGCGGATAAGGGTTTGCACAGTTCATTAGCAAGTTCACGAAGTGCTAGGGCGGGAATTCTATCTGGGCCAGGCGATTTGGCAGGTTTCAGCCGGAGTAGCTCGGCCCTAACTATGGTAGATGAAAAGAGTGGTTCCTCGGTTAAGGAGGGTAGGGAAGGGATAGGATGGGGAAGAGTACTGGGAGGAGAGGTTGGTTGGCGAATGGATGGATGGGCAAATATAGCACTAGGTTCTCGGGTGAAGACGGACTGAAAGAAGTCGGAAAGGAGGGACGCTTTAACCTGGTCATCAATCTCCACTTTTCCATCTGCAGACCTGAGGGCAGGAATGAGCTCCTGAGTCCTTTTAGTACATCGTATATAACCATATAGAATTTTCGGATGCTCCAACGAATTTCGGAGGATGTTTAGTTCAAACTTCTTTCGCAGCTTTGAGGCCTCACTTTTACAGACGTTTCGTTGCCGCTTATATTCCTGTAAGTGTTCGTCGGAGCCAGTTAGTCTGTTACGCCTCCACAGACGATTCCTTTTTCTGAAAGAGGCCTTCAAGTCGGGGTTTATCCATTTTGGGCGGTTTGTGATTTTCTTTCATCTAAGAGGACAATTGGAATAAACAATCTCTTTCAGTAAGGAACTGAAAGTATTCACGTTATCGTTTGCTCGACCATGCAGTTCAGTCTCCCATGATATAGCTGCCGCTTCCCTCCTCATGAGAGAATAGTCCCCTTTCCAAATGTTTCTCTCCCACCTCTCGGGTTAGACGGGTTTGGAAAACAATGAGTACTCGAAGTAGAGCGTGATGTGGTCGCTTGACCCTAATGTCTGTCGGTCCTGCAGGTCTAACACGTTTTCCTCCTCTCGGGTAAAAATAAGATCAAGGCAGTTCGACTGCTGCCCTTCCCTGACCCGTGTTCCAAAGGTAACATTCTGGCAGAGAAGTTTGTCCGTTGCCCATTGTAGTAGTTTGTGATTAAAGCTGTCTTGCGGCCCTTGTGCAGTCCACGTTAGCCAATCAATGCCAGGAGCGTTAAAATCCCCAAAGATAAGGACGTCTTTCTTCTCGCTAGCTTGGTACAGTTCGGATATGAGCATGAGATCGTGGTCAGAAGTATGGTTAGGTGAACGGTACACCACCGAAAGCGTCAATGATCGGACATTCTTAGTAGATATGGTAACGCTTAGTAGTTCCACATCCCGTACCGGTCTGTGTACACCAGCCATAGCGCTTAGCTTGCAAGTGACATAAATTATGACTCCTCCTCCTCGGCTTAGTCTATCTCTCCTGAATTGCTGATATCCTCTGAGTGATATTTCTGAATCTGCGATATCTTCAGTAAGCCACGTTTCTGTGAATGCCATAATGTCTGGCTTAATTTCATCAACTAAGTCTCTTAGTTCGTCTAGTTTGTTGAAGAGGCTTTGCACATTTGCGGATATAACCTTCAATGACCTTCAATACCCGGCCGTTTCCACAAGCCTCCTCACTTGTGCTGTCTATCGTATTCAGTGCACGTCCTATTTCCAATTTGCCTTCTGTTTTGCATACGTAACATTGGCGACGCAGCCTAACGAACATGTCTTCATTGCTGCCTACACCGCTACCTTTTTTGGCCAAAGAACGCGTGCGGCAAAACCTTCAGCAGCTGAATCAGTCAAACGATGGAGTGATAGCATCCTTGGAATCGGAAATGGCCGTCTCCCTGGTCAACAGTGCTGTGTCTTCACCTAGACAGCGACCCTCAGCTCCCTCAAAACAACTACCATCATGCTACCGTTGTGGCCAGCATCATATCCGGTGGTCAGACTGTAGACATCAGAAGACGGTATGCCAGTTTTGCAAGAAAGTCGGCCACATCGAACGAGTGTGTTTCTCCGAAAGACGAGCGAATAGTAACACGCATGCGACCTACCCTAGTCCAGCTGGGGATGGCGAGGCGATACTCCGAATGTTTCCGGCCAACGCTACTCTCCAATCCCCCTACACCATCACGCTTCCGGTTGATCACCATCCCGTGAAGTTTGAAATCGACACTGGCTCAGCTGTTACTCTCATCGATGAGGCCTCTCTTCAGAAATTACCCTCCCTCCTACCGGCTAGCTCAACATTCCGTAGTTACACTGGACAGAACGTAGACGTTCGAGGGGTCTTTACAGCCGAAGTCGAACATGATGGAGAACTTCATTACTTGGAGGTTCATGTGGTGAGAGGAAGCCAGCAACCGAATCTCCTTGGACGAAATTGGATTAAATGCGTGCCTTCTGTGCTATCCTATGTACATCGGATGGGTGTAAATCCGGCTTTAGATTCAATTTTGGTAAATCATAAGGATCTATTTCGTGACGATTCAGCTACCCACTACCGCGGTTCACCTGTTAAGTTTCAGTTTCAGTCAGATTTCCGGCCCCGGTTCTTCAAAGCTCGTACAGTCCCCTATGCACTCGCACCGAAGGTCGAAGAAGAGCTGGATCGCCTACAGAAAGCGGATATTATTGAGCCCGTGCAGTATTCGGAATGGGCAGCCCCAATAGTTCCTGATCTTAAAACCGATGGTTCTGTGCGTATCTGTGGCGACTACAAGCTGACAATCAACTCAGCAACTAAACTGAACCCTTATCCTCTCCCGCGCATCGAGGATCTGTACGCATCTCTCTCGGGTGGTCATCAGTTTACAACTTTGGACCTAAAGCATGCCTACAACCAAGTCGTCCTAGATACTGAATCCCGAGACGCCACCACCATCAATACGCATCGGGGTTTATTTCGATATAAAAGACTACCATTTGGAGTAAGTTTGGCTCCCGGTTTATTTCAATGCTTGATTGATAATCTCGTGAAGGATATACCTCACGTTTGCGCATATCTTGACGATATATTAGTTGCCGGCCCATCTGAACATAGTCATCTAGAGACTCTAAACATCGTGTTAGGACGTTTAGAGGACGCCAGTTTTAAACTCAGCAAAGATAAGTGCACTTTCCTTGCCGACTCGGTAGAATACCTGGGCTTCAGGGTGGATAAAACTGGCCTCCATCCACTCGAACATAAGCTCAAAGCCTTGAAGACGGCGCCGTGCCCCAACAATACTAGTCAATTGCGTTCACTCCTGGGGTTGGTCACCCACTTTAGTCGCTTTATGAAATAATCGGCTACAATTCTCAAGCCTCTTTATCGACTACTTGAAAAGAATTGTGGCTGGCACCGGTCGGAGGTCGAACAAAGTGCTTTCGAACAGGCAATGGCGGATCTTACCTCCTCATCTGTCCTAGTTCACTATGACCCCGAAAAGCCTATCATACTGAAATGTGATGCGTCTCCGTATGGCGTAAGTGCAGTTCTCATGCATCGAATGCCTTCGGGTTCGGAGATGCCGATTGCTTTTGCATCAAGAACCATGTCACAGGCGGAAACCAACTATTCGCAACTAGACAAAGAGGCCTTAGCAATAATGTTTGGCCTACATCGGTTCCACCTGTATCTTTTTGGCCGACACTTTGAAATTTACACTGATCACAAACCCCTCTTAGGTTTGCTGGGAGAAAAACGAGGGATACAGCAGATGTCCTCGCCAAGAATGCAACGATGGGCACTCACTTTATCTGCTTACACGTATGCAATGAAATACGTTACAGGTAGTGCAAACGTAGTGGCTGACGCCTTGAGTAGGCTTCCTATCGTGGACGATGACATTAGCGGGGCACCTGTTTTTGAGACCGTGAATCTTTTGCAGAATCTAGTCAACGCGCCTGTAACCTGTCAACAAATTTGACAGTGGACATCGAGAGACCCTCTCCTAAGTCGGGTAAAAAGAGACTTACAATCTGGCTGGCCGTCCTCTACCTCCTCTGATTTTCAACCATTCTTCAGCCGTCAGAACGAGTTAAGTCTACAAGACGGATGCATACTATGGGGCAATCGTTTAGTTGTGCCACCACAAGGCCGACGGGCCATTCTCAGAGACCTGCATAATGCTCACCCTGGTACAGTTAGAATGAAAGCTCTCACCCGCAGGTATGTTTGGTGGCCCAAAATTGACGCAGATATAGAAAACGTGGTGAAAGCATGTCACGTGTACCAAATAACACAGAAGACCTTACCGAAGGTTCCTCTGAAGCCCTGGGCCTGGCCCGACTCGCCGTGGAAGAGGGTACGCGTCGATTATTTTGGGCCATTCCAAGGCCATATGGTTTTGGTGGTAGTTGACGCCCACACTAAATGGATTGATGCGATTCCGACAGGAAATTCTTGTTCCTCACTGACTACAATCAACGAGTTGCGAACCGTCTTTTCTACTTTTGGGATACCTGAAATGGTCGTTTCAGACAATGGCCCGGCCTTTACTAGTGCAGAATTTAAAGATTTCATGAAGAGAAATGGAATTAGACATTTAACTACTGCCCCGTACCACGCTGCTTCAAATGGCCTCGCAGAGCGTGCAGTCCAGACAATAAAGCACGGACTAGCCAGACAGACAGAAGCGGACTTGGCCACCAAGTTGTCACGCTTTCTGTTCAGCTATCGCATAACACCAAACTACTCAACGGGTGCTTCGCCTGCAGAATTGATGTTCAAGCGGCAGTTGCGCACACGACTCGACCTGCTCAATCCATCAACGCAGGATAGGGTCATTGCAAAACAGACGAAGATGAAAGAACGACATGATGTGAGCACCCGACCACTAGTCGTCGCGCCCAACGAAAGTGTCTACACGCGACTGGAACACGAAACGAACTGGTGTCCAGCGGTAGTTCGAAAAAGCGAGGGTCAAATAGTGGAATAAGAGTTAGAAGGTGGGAGAATTGTGCGTCGACATCTGGACCAAGTTCGCAGCCGAACGGACACAGTAAGTGGAGAATTCAGAGAGTTAGGACTGCCAGCAACCCTTGATAGGGATCCTGACATCCCGAGGACTGAGCCCCTACTTCCTGCACAGGACACTACGCCATCCACCGAGGCTTATGTTCCACCTCCTTCTACCCCGGTCAGTACTAACTTAGGGGCAGAAGAGCCACTGACTGCACAAAGCGGCGCAGAGGTCGAAAATACCGCCCTGGGAAGATCAACCCGAAACCGCAAACCTGTCCAACGCTTTCAGGACGAATCTTATTAGAACATTGTCTGACAATCCACTATTACCTATACTGTTCCCCTCCCCTCCCCCTCATGCTCTCCACTTTAGGGTGGAGGGATGCAGCGTATCCTGCCCGGGCCGTCAGGACATCATGCCACAAACGCGTGACAAACGAACGATCAAGGTCATGGCCCCCTGTTCACACCGTCTTTGTGCTGATTGGCCACTCATCAGCCTATGACAGTTCCCCTTGCCATATACCCGGCCGTTTCCACAAGCCTCCTCACTTGTGCTGTCTATCGTACTCAGTACACGTCCTATTTCCAATTAGCCTTCTGTTTTGCATACATAACACATGGTATCTAGGCGCATCTCAGACGCGACCTCACCAATGCTTCACCGATGTGGGCGAAAACGCCATCATCAAAATCCATAAGTCCTTGCTCGATGGCGTCCAACAAGGGCATCGCACATTTTGTCACTCTGGCGCAGTGGACGAATGATTTTAAGGAGTTCTTCGT